TATTCGAGTCCACTCTCAAATAACACTATGCCATTTCATGGGTAGTGTGAGTACCTTATCATAATAATAAAAAAATCCTAATTCCTCTCTCTTATTCATATTGCTGGCATTCGTTACACTTATACATAAGCATATATAAACATATACATATATGTTTTTGATATATATTCAAATATATATATATTCAAATACATTATTGCTATTATTATTTTGAACAAATTATCTGTTAGATCAATTAAGAATTAAAAATGGAAGTTTTTATTCTAACTTTGTTTATTTCTTCTTTCATTCTCTTCACAACTTTATGTAGATTCAAGTTTCTGACCTATATAATTTTACTTTTCTCCGTAGAACTTCTTTAATATGTCTTGCAAAGCAGGTCTACTGGCAACAAATTTCATTAATTTTTTTATTGTGTGAGAAAATATTTCTGCTTGATACTTAAAGGATAATTTTGTAGGGTACAGTATTCTAGTTTGGTGGGCTTTTTTTCTCAACATTTTAATACTTCACTCCACTCTCTTCTTACTTTCCTGGCTTCTGAGAGAAAGTAGTGTGTAATTCTTTGCTCTTCTATATGCAAGATATCTTTATCCTCTGGCTTCTTTCCAAATTTTTTCTTTATTTTTGATATTCTGCAATTTGAATATAATATGCCCAAGTGTAGTTATTGTTGTGTTTTGAATTTCTCTCTCTCTCTCTTTGTTTATTTTTTTGTTTTGTTTTGTTTGCAACTATCTGAATTCTAGATTTATAGTTTGGTGTCTGTGGAAAACATTTTCAGTCATCATTGTTATTGCTTCAAATATTTCTACTCTTCCTGTCTCTCTTCTCCTTCTGGTATTCTCATTACATGTAGTTTAACCTTTTGTTGTTATCTCACAGTCCTTGGATACTCTGTTTTAGTTGTTTACTCTTTTTTCTCTCCACCTTTCAGTTTTAGAAGTGTTTTATTGAAATATCTCTAAGCTCAGAGATTCTTTCCTCAGCAATGTCTGAGGAAACATTTGCAGAGGGCTAGGCACTGAGCACCATGTGTCATGCTAGGCCGTGGACCAATGCTTTCTGTCTGTTTTATTAACTGATTCAGAAATACATGTACACGTTTGATACACATTCTTCAGGTGACCTCAAATGGGGTATTATAAAATTTAAGAACTGGAATGGCTTTCAGAAGCAATCTCTTTTACTAATAATTCTGCAAGCAACTAATATTTATTGGATGATTAAAATGTCAGACATCATGCTAAAGGCTTTACATGTAGTCCTTCATTTATTAATTAGCCCAGTATGTTTTTTTTTTTTTTTTTTTGACGGAGTTTCACTCTTGTTACCCAGGCTGGAGTGCAGTGGCGCGACCTCGACTCACCGCAACCTCCGCCTCCTGGGTTCAGGCAATTCTCCTGCCTCAGCCTACTGAGTAGCTGGGATTACAGGCACATGCCACCATGCCCAGCTAATTTTTTGTATTTTTAGTAGAGACGGGGTTTCACCATGTTGACCAGGATGGTCTCGATCTCTTGACCTCGTGATCCACCCGCCTCGGCCTCCCAAAGTGCTGGGATTACAGGCTTGAGCCACCGCGCCCGGCCCATATGCGTTATTTTTTATCTTCCTTGTATACGTGAGGGAACTCACGTATACAAGGAAGAACTTTCCCTTCTGAAAGGTGAAATAACTTGCTTAAATTCACACAGGAAGAAGCAGTGCCAGTTTCTGAAACCAAGTTGATTCAGCAGCTTCAAAGCCCATAGATTTTCCTACCACATTCTGATAAATCATTAATGAAAACACTCATTAGAGGCTAGGCGCAGTGGCTCACACCTATAATCCCAGGACTTTGGGAGGCCGAGGTGGGTGGATAATCTGAGGTCAAGAGTTCAAGACAAACTTGGCCAACATGGTGAAAGCCTGTCTCTACTAAAGATACAAAAATTATCTGGCTGTGGTCGCATGCACCTGTAATCCCAGCTACCCAGGAGGCTGAGGCAGGAGAGTCGCTGGTACCCTGGGCAAACAGCCTGCAGTGAGCCAAGATTACGCCACTGCACTCCAGCTTGGGCGACAGAGCAAGACTCTGTCGAAAGAAAGAAAGAAGGAAAGAAGAAAGGAAGAAAAGAAGGAAGAAAAGAAGGAAAGAGGGAGGGAGGGAAGCAAAGAAGGAAGGACGGAAGGACGGAAGGAAAGAAAAAGAAAAGAAAAGAAAAGAAGAAAAGAAAAGAAAAGAAAAGCAAGAAAGTGGGAGGGAGGAAGGGATGGAAAGAGGGAGGGAAGGAAGGAAAGAAAGTGGGGGAGGGAGGGAGGGAAGGAGGAAGGAAGGAGGAAATAGGGGGTTGGAGGAAGGAAGAAAGGAAGGAAGGAAGGAAGGAAGGAAGGAAGGAAGGAAAACACTCATTAGAAAATGGGCAAGAGATGGCCATATTCACTGGACACCTAATCTGGCTCAAGGTGACAAATGTGGAAAGGTGCATGGGGAGGCTTTCTTCCTACTGCAAAAACGCAAGTCTGAGAGCTGGCGCCACCCAGCAATGACTCTGCTTTCACTTTCGGGGTGGCAGGGGAGATGATTCCGGTTCCAGGATCCCCCTTCCTGGTCACCTGCAATTCTCGGCTCATTCCACCTACAGAAAGAGAAGCCATCTCAGTATGATTTTTATGGACATAGCTGACCTTTCATGACTTCCATGAGGAACGGAGTTTCTTTGATGAGCCTCAGGGAGAGCTGTGCCATGTGATGCAGGAGAACTTTGCATGTATAACCTTGCTCGTTGTTGGTGGGAAGCAGTGAGAGCAGGCACCCTCTGTGGAGTGTTTCAGTAGAAAGTGTCACAGCTAGGTCCATGCATCCAGAAGGTTCATCCCTGTGAGATGTGTGTTTTGGTCATGAGGGACATTTTGCACCTGGCTGAGCACCAAAAAATGCTGTCTGGGTAGAGATGGTACACTTGTGAGGCATGTGGGAAACAATTCTGGTTTAGTGCAAACCTGCACCAGTACCAGAAGGAACACAGTGGAACAGAGATGTGGACGATGCTTCCTCTGTGAAAGGCTGCAGATTGTGTCAGGAAGGCCCTTCACCTGTGGGAAAGTTGGGAAGGATTTTCCCGGCAGCTGTGCCTTCTCCAGCACAGGCTACTCACAACTGGATGGAAGCCACACAGCAGCACCAAATGTGGGGAGGCCTTTCACAGCAGAAAAAGTCATTAGAAGTGCAGTGAGCCAGGAAACCTTTCAGATACAAATCCAAACTTGTTCAGCATCAGGGATTTCACAAATGGAGAAAAGGCCTTAGGAGTGCGGCAACTACGGGAAATTCTTTAGCCAAAACTCCAGTCTCATTTGTCACTGGAGAATTCCACTGGAGAAAGACTTATGAGTGTGGCGAATGTGGAGAATTTCTTTAGGCAAAGCTCTGGCATCATTGAACACTAGAGAATTCACACTAGAGCTAGGCCTCATGTGCATGGTGAATGTAGGATGTCTTTTAGCCAGAGCTCCATCGTTAGTAATCACAGAGAGTTCACACTGCAGCAAAGCCCTGAGAATGTGGTACATATGGGAAATCCTTTCAACAAAGACCTGGCCTCATTCAGCACTATAGAGTTCATGCTGGAGAAAGGCTTCTATATTCAGTACAACAACTCAGGAGGGAGGCATCTGCCTGATCAAACCCCATGCATCTGAACATCCACAGTGGAGAGGCTCCCTGTAAATTCCAGGTAAGTGGGAAGCTTTAAGGAGCTGCATTGTACTTTCTAACCTGTGCAGGCCATGACCCTTGCCAGATTTAGTTCACTGCCAGTTTCTATGGCATAAGTCATTTCACCTCTACCACCTGACAGGTTCCCCATAGTGTATGTTAGTCACCCCAGTGTAATAAAGGAAAGCAGATGTTTCTGTTCTCTCCCTCTCATTCCCTGGAGAAAACCACGAATAGTCTGTGCCCTTAGGGGAGTGTCATTCCTTCCCCTCTGACTAGTTAAGGCATGATCCTGACCCAATCTTGTCTAAGAAGATTGATCCAGTCTGGGTATTACCGGCAATTCGCAAGTAACTTTTCCTTCTTCCAATTTTGGTCTAATTTATTTTGCTTGCAAAGACCACCTGGGAAAGAGTATTCCACTTGGTGATCCTAGTTTGTGGTCTAGATGCCAGGATTTCTTTGTAGGCTCTGAGGAGGGGGGATGTTGTTGTGACAGCTTGTAGGACTTTGGGGAGAAGGATGAATCCCTTTTTCTCAGGGGATGTCACATAACTCCTAGCACCATTGAGGGGACTCCAGGCACTGCACAGGAACCATGTGCCCAGAGGTCCAAAACTCAAGTTTCTGGTGTCAATTGTAAGAATATAGAGGCCAGGCTAAAACCATAATTGGTGCAGAAACACTGGATGTGATTAGTGAGGTCTGGCAGAGACTGTGTCAACGTCGAGAATGGTGCCTCCTCTGCAGTGTCTCCGTAGGTGTTTCAACGACTATGGCTATGAGGATGAATGGGTGAACTCCATGCTGGTTTTTTCTTGGAACTGACCCGTCAAAGCCAATAAAGTTTTGTTTACTGCTGTAATGACCTCAAGGCCGTTGCTGCACAGCCATGAAAATGAAAATAGAGAAATGAGAGACCTCATAGTCCAGGGATGTGGCTTTTGTCACCCCTCTAGCATTTCTGTTGACTCATATGGGAATGCTGTTTATAGCTTACCGATATTTCCTGCCGCTGATGTGGGCTGCCTTTCCCAAGGCATGGGGGAGTCAATACAGGGTGGCAAAACCTTATGTATTCCTTTAAAAAATAGATCCACACTTTTATTTAGATAATTTTTAACATTCTATTGAAGTATAACTGGTATGCTATAAACTACACATATTTAAGGTGGACAATTGAGTTGATTATCAGCCTGGATGATATACCAAGACCCCCAACTCTATTTCAAAACAATTAAAAATATTAGCTGCTCTTGGTGGAGCATGTCCTTGGTCCCAGCTGCTTGAGAGGCTTGAGGGGATGATCCGCTGGGCCTCACCATACCGAATTATGATCACAACCTTGCATTACAGCCTGCACAACAGAGCAAGACACTGTCTCTCTAAAAAAACAACAAAAACAAAAACCAGTGTACAATTTACATAGTTTGAACGTATATAGAAACTCATGAAACTGTCACAATCATGCTAATGAACATATCCAAATATCTAATCCTGTATACCTACCTTTTTAATGATCCCTCTCTGCCCTCACTAGCCCTTCAGGCAACCTCTGATTTTTTTTTCAAAATAAATTAGTTAATATTTTCTGGAATTTTATTTGGCTGGAATCTTACAGTTTTTTTTATTATTATTCTTGTTTTCTTCGTGCTGCATAATTATTTTAATATTTATAAATGTTGCTTATGTGAATAGTTCATTCTTTTCTTGGTGAGTCGTAACCTGTTCTATGGAAGTTATCACTATTTGTTTACCTATTTATCTGTTAATGGACATTTGAGCTGTTTCTGGTTTTGGGTTATTACAAATAAAATGGCATATTTGAAGTATACAGTTTGATGTTTTGATATGCTTATGCTTTTGAAACTGAAAATTTCTTCCTGCACTTACAACATATAAAATTATGTATGTATAAAGACATACTTGACCTTTGTAATGGATATTTTATATGTAGACACAAATGGAGAGGGATGTACTATGAAGCTTTAGGATCCCTCCTCCAATCTTCTATCCTTATTTATCATTTCATAGCCATTCTTGTTTCATCTGTTTCCACACAGTACTAGGTGATTTTACTTAGAATTCCAGACATCATGTCATTTAATGCATAATTTTTTCAGGAGGCACTTCTATAACATAAGTGTTCTTTCATAGCTCTAATAACTCTCATACAAAATAAACGTATTTTAAAATATTAAAAATGGATAATCAAATGAGTTGATAACCAAATAAAAATACTATACGTGATCAGTAAGCATATGAAAAATATTCAACCTCACTAACAATAAAGATATACACATTTAAATAAAAACAACTATTTAATTTTTTCTTACCTGCATTTGGCAAAGATGTAAATGAGTGACACTACTTGATAGTTAGAAGGGATATGGCCACTTTCAAATTAATTGGTGGGAGAATACATTGGTATCTTATTTTTGATTTTTAGTTTTTGCTTTTACAGTCTGGGTCTCACTCTGTTGCCCAGGCTGGAGTGTAGTGGTGTGGTCACAGCTCATTGCAACCATGAACTCCTGGGATCAAGCAGATATCCTGTCTCAGCTTCCCAAGATGCTGGAACTAGAGGTAAACACCACCATGTCCAGCTAATTTTTAACATTTTTCTTGTAGAGACAGAGTCTCACTATGCTACCCATGCCTGGTCTTTAACTCCAGGCCTCAAGGCTATCCTCACACCTCAGCCTCCCAAAGCACTGAGGTTACAAGCATGAGCCACTGCATCCCATCAGTATCACACTTTTGGAAGGTAATTTGGCAAATCCTTTTATCTCAGAAATTTTACTTTTAGGAATTTAATGTAAGGACATAACTAGAAAACTTCAAAAAAGTGTAAAAAATACAAATAATCTAAATGTCCAAAAATGGATATTGGTAAATTAGCTTATGAAATTTTGGTATACTGGAATACATATAGAATGCAGTTTTGTCATTTAAAATAATAATGTTAATACAATGGCAAATATATTTTAATTTATGTGCCAAATTTTAAAATATCTTCTTAACAACTTCACTTGTCATGAACAGAAATGATAAAATTAGAAAAATATGTATGGTTTATTATGCATCACATTAATTATTATATAAATGCAACTAAGATCAACTTGCATATTTAAATGTGAACATTTTGTATCATATGGTTAGCAAAGTCAGGAGTATTTTGGCAATATTCTATCAATCCCAATCAATATTTAATCAATTATGTTCTCTTTGTAGACCACATAATTATTTTGTTTTCTATTTTTTAATTGACACATTGTAATTGTACATATTTAGGGGATACAGTTTGATGTTCTGATACACGTATATGTTGTATAATAATCAAATTAGGGTAGCTAGCATATCCATTACCTCATGCAATTTTCATTTCTTTATAGTGAGAACATCCAAAAAAACCTTTCTTTAAGCTATTTTGTAATATAGAATATCTTACGGTAAGCTATCTTCACCCTATTGTGCAAAAGGACACCAGAACTTACTTCTATTTTTTTGTAACTTTGTACCTGTTGACAAACCTCTCTTCATCCTCCCCAATCTCGAATCTTCTCCCAGTGTCTTTAACCAGTATTCTCTCTACTTCTATGCGATCAACCTTTTTTTAGATTTAGATTCCATTTCAAAATGTTCACTTTAAAAAGCAAGTTATTAAGCCACATATTTTCTTCATATGCCTTCCTCAAATCCAGAATTGTTTTGCCTACTCGATTTTAAAGTCTGGAAATTATATCAAAAAAGAGGTTAGTTTGGCATGAGAAATTCTTATTGAACCTACGCTGGCTCACTAAGAATGGGGGAGGAAGAAGGTTGCCATTCATTATTGTTGAGCTCACTAAGAGCTCAGAAATAATTGGTTAAATATTGAAGCACAGAATTATGCTGCAGATGGATATCAACGTCACCTCAGTATGATTTCTGGAATTTATATATGATAACCACTTTCCTAGGCCTACTCCCCTTACCATCTTGACCTGTCTTTTGAAAACATAGCCATTTGTACATTTCTGGTGTCTGGTACCCATCACATTCTCCTCCAAATTTGTTCACAGCAGCTCTTTAATCACAAAAGAAAATGCTTTGACACTGAAGAATGTCATTCATTGGGATTAATAATTATTACTCATTCTAAAAGTATCCAGATCATCTGTTTCATTCTTCTAAACCCCTTGTGGTTTCAGACCATTTTTGCTTTGTTCTTTCTAGTTCAAATAATCTTCTCCTGGATAAAGAAGACTATAAATAAACCAGCACTGTGAAACACGGGTTCATCTGACTGGGTCTGCCAAATTTAGCCTGCCTGCTTGCTTTTGGTTACCTGCTTTTTTTTTTTTTTTTTTTTTTTTTTTTTTTGTGAGGCTGAAGGCCACAGTAGGTGAAGGCTGCACCACTGAACAGTGAAACTTAACCTTCATTAGCTACATTATAAATTGAACATTTATAATGGTAATGGTCACTTCAGTTATTTTTCAGAAATGTGGAACAGCTCCTGACCAGTTCAAACTGGTTGACTCTTCAGCTGTGCCTGTGTAAAGGCTGGAGAGATGGCATTTTGATATCAAAGGACCAAAAATTCCACCCTCAGATCGTAATACCATCATTTTCTAGAAATATGTCCTATGAAATGCCATAAACCCCAACTGTGTTTGCCTAGATCACTGATTGTCTCATTTTCCCCCCAACTGGCAATCATCTTTCCCCACATCTTAGACGACCCTATTTCTATTAATATCCCTAAGCCTTATCTTCAGGGAGGTGGAGTTGAGACCTGTTCCACCTCCTTACTGGCTGCCTCATGAACAGTCCATCTCTTTCGCAAAACTCATCATCTCAGTGATCGACTTGCTGCAATTGAGCAGAAAACCTGGTTGATGATCATTGTAGAAGCTGTAGACACTGGATTATTCACTGTCATCTGCTGTATCAGCTATTCTGTCTCCTCTCCACCGTCATGTAGACATAGATACAGATATCTTGTTTAACATAAGAGCATTTTTAAAGAGCATTTTTTATTTTTAAAGAGCATCTTTAATTTTAAAAAGCATTTTTATTACCCTCCCCATGATGTAGAAACCTCAGTTAATTGGAAGCCTTCACCTTCATAAACTCTTCTTCAAATCTTGTTCATTTATTTTCATCCTTCTACCAATCTCCAGGTAGATAGCTCTTTCTTATTCCCTTCTCAACTCTAGTGTTGGTTCCTTAGAAGCCTCCTTTCACAACTGATCTCATGAATCCTTCTTCCTCCCCCATTCATGTCACTCTACGCCAATCTTGTGTTCCTAGTTTTGTTTCACTTACCACTACCTGCAATTATTACTTTTTCTACCTCCTTCAACTAGAAAGTGAGCACCATGAAGATAGGAATAGTACTGTCCCCTTAGAGCCCATTACTGATCCAATCACATACAAAATAACACATAGATATCTGTTGAATACAGTGCTGATGTTCCAAACATTAACTGGTACAGCACAGGCAATAGAGAATCAGAAAAGATGCCAGCTGTGAACAATAGGAGGTGCCCTACTGGTGAGTATAGACTGCAGAGTAGCCTTCGTCAAATGAAAAGGTAAATTTAAGCATGTCTCATCTACTGCCTGACCAAGAATTATCCCTGTTTTTCTGTTTGCTTCTTTAGAACACCTTTCATATTCTTATTTACAATATTGATCATTTTTAGTCGGAAAGCAGAACTTCATTTGAAGTCTCACAAATATTTTAATAGATTTTTTATATTGATCTGTAGTCCTGATATATCTTTCGTACTTTCTCTGAACTTTCCACAGTCTCAGGTTGGAAAGACTAATACTAATCCAAGCATTTCTCTCTTTGGTCAACAGGCATACTGAGATGCCAAAATTATTTTACAAATCAGTTCTTTTTTTAGATTAAAAATCAACACAGAGTCATACTTTTCACCTCATCTATCTTCAGACACTCAAAATGGACAATGTTTATCAGATTTTTTCATATGCTTTGTTCTTTCAGTAGAAAATAGACAAAATTTACCACCCCCATCACATAAAGCTTTCACTCTGTGCCACATGTTACTCGCTCTACTGACATTCACCAGATAATAAATTGTTTAAAGTCAGGGCTTATTTTTTCTTATGTTTCTTTTAATTCCACCATCAAGCACCAGATCTTGACTATAAGTGAGATCATTGCATTTAAGTTGAATTGAAATGAGTGTACTGATTTATCCAAGCTAGACTTTTTTTTTTTTTTTTTTTTTTTTGATATGGACTCTCACACTGTTGCCCAGGCTGGAGTGCAATGGTGCAGTCTCAACTCAACTG